ACGGCTGGTCGGATCGTAACATTAAGGGGAGACATCGAACTATCTTTTGGAGATGACAAAAAAGTATCTTTTGTATTGATGGATTCTTCTTCAGTCATAGGATAGAAAAGATAGTACGATACCTAGAAAGAATTATTAGAGAGTGATCGAAAAAATAGAAGCACAAGATCGAAGACCTAAAATTTTAGGTTTTGCTATGATACCATGTCAAGAAAACTGTTTTGGTATAAAGGTTTTCTTAGTTTATTAAGTTGTCAAGGCATCGCTTTATATACACAATAGGTTTAACCTAGTTACAAAAATATAATTTACCAACTAAACCGTATTTATCTACTAATTAAATATCGGTCTATAAATCCTCCAATATCAGCCGTTTGAAACTATGGCATCACGAATATTGAGAAAAATTTTGAACGGAAAACCGATCGTTGGATCGGTCATAGTCAACTGTTGTTGCTATGAAATTTTCAGCCTTACATGATATATGAACGTAGTGTCTCGGTTGACCCGTTGGCTTTGCTTGCCTTAGAATCCTCTTTTGTTCACTAAAATTTGGCCCGTGAATGTTATACAAAGACTCTTTACAACATCTAAAATTTAATATGCTTAGCATTTGTATCGTCGGTTCATATCTAATATATGTAGCAAAATATTATAAAAGTAACTAAATAATCATCAAACATCCGCACACAAATTTTTGTCTAGATATTCATATAGCAGAACTACAACGTTTCATGTCACTACATTTTTTTTACTATACGAGTCGTACACAAAATTTATTTCATGCTGTCATAAGTAAAATCAAATCAAACATACAAAGTTTCCACTGGTGGTGATGCATATGTCTCCACTCGAAATCATCCGAAGAGAAAGCAATAATTGCAACTTGAGCGGCATTGAATATGCGTTGCTTCAGCCTTGCGCTTCATTTTATTGATCCTTGCTTCCGAAGCTTACATCACGTGATCTGATGAATTGATGTTTAGGAGATAAAAGAGTGAAAACAAAAAATCAAACAGACAAAGTTACTGAGACAAAACCAAAGGAACACCCAACACTTGTAATTACTTCTTTTGCCCACCGAAAAACCTAAGAGAAAGAGAGAGACAAACCTAAGACTAGAGCATCCGTTATCATGAGATTTTGTGAGTTTCAGATAATGAAAAGAAGGAGAAAAAATATTGTTCTAATGGATTTTGGGCTGAGACGTATTGATACGGTTCTTCGTTCTTAGTGCCACATGTTGTGGTGTAATTGGACCAAGT